GTCAACTGGAAAGTAGCGGGTTTCAAGCGCCTACCCACACTCAACTGTTAGAACAGTGGGTTTCAGTTGAGTGTGGGTTGTTTCATCACACGTATGAACAAATTCAATAGAAAACCTAGCAAATTCACTAGAAAATTCTATTGGAACTCCGTAGGATTTCTATTGGAATTCTGTTGAAAAATTCCATTTTTTTTGCGCTGATTCTATTAGATATTCGATAAGAAACAGTCAATAGATATAGAGAAACACTCAACTGTTAGAACAGTGGGTTTCAGTTGAGTGTGGGTAGGCGCTTGAAACCCGCTACTTTCCAGTTGACTATAGTCAACTGAAACCCATGCGGTTACACGCACGTATCATATAAAATCATATTATCACATGCAAAACCATACGCGCGCATAGCGCGCGCACATCCCAAGTAGTTAAAAAAAAGTCTAGTGTCCATTTTACCCCATCCTCTCCTACGCTTTTTCCTGGTAATGTTCATTGAATTGGTCTCTCCGTGTACGTTTCAAACAAGGTTTTCGCGAAAACTTCGCTATCTGCATTAGAATCGGAGATACTCATCAAGAATTCAGTCACGATCTAAATCGACTTGAAACGTTTTATCGCTTCGCTACTGAATTGGGGAATCTATTTCTACAGGATAAGCTCTATAGATTTATAGAAAAGAGTCCGGAATTCGCGAGGCCTACGAAGCCCTGTACGCTGGACGAACATAGGAGAAGATGCTTCAGGCAGACGACTCTTCTTTTGAAGAATGATTTAGTGGTACGTATTCCCCCCGAACGACGTAACTGAAATTTTTATGTATTTTGGTTATTTTAGATGATGAATTGAAAAATTCATGTTCGGTAATTTCTATGGAAAATGTATCGATGGAAAAAGAAAGTCGAATAGAAATTTGAAATTCTACAGATGTTTTGTATGATATAGTTTCTATTATACATTTTCTATTAAAAAACGCACAGTGAAGATGGGGAATTCTTCAATGGAAACGGCGAAACCCTTACAATTTTCAATAGAAGCTCAATAGAAATCCAACAGAATTTTCTCTATTTCAGATGTTTTTCTATATTTTTTTTCCTATCGAATTTGTTACGTTTTTCTATGAAATTTTTTCCTGCGTGTTTATCTGATCAACATAAAGTTTAATTACACTTTTCAAATCCATTTTACACGAAATTTCACCATCTGTCTTAGATAAATGAACGAAAATCTGCCACCTGTCTTAAATAAATAAGTAAATAAAAAAATAAAAAAATAATAAATAGATAAAATCTGCCAAAAAACTGTCATGTGTCTTAAATAAATAAATAGATTCGTAAATAGAAATAGATTCCAAGACACCTATCGAAAACTGACGATCTCTCGATCTGGAAGCGAAATGAAAAAAAAATGCATTAAATCACGCACGAACGAATTTAGTAGAAAAACCTTGCGAATTCGCTAGACAATTTTATTGGATTTTCATTGAAATTGTTGGCCGATTCTATTGAAGTGTTCAATAGAAAATATTCTATAGAAAAAGTCAATAGAGATCGATTTTTCTGTACAAATTATTGTATTGAAATATTTTCCATAGAATTTCCGCGGTTCGAATTTTCCAATTTTTTTTTCTTTTAGGGTAAGCTACCTAGTAGATGGACTCTGCCCTATAGACGGACGAGCTACTTTTGGATAGAAAATTACGCAAAAAAATACTGAAATGTGAATTGTTGCTTTGAATTTTCACGAACTGTTGTGATTCTTAACCCCTGAGTGACGATTTTTTTTCGATCAATTTGTTTTTTCAATTGCTAAAAAACTAACGTCCATCTACTGGCCGGTTTTCTTAGGCGTCCATCTACTGGGCAGTTTACTCTATTTGACTTTTTCGTGATAAAAAAAATAGAAGGAAAAAATTCAGAAAATCTGGGCGAGGAGATTCTATAGAAAATATCTCAATAGAATCGGCCAAAAACTCATAGAAATTTCAATAGAAATCCAATAAAATAGCCTGGCGAATTCGCTAGGTTGTCCTATGAAATTTTTTCATGCGTGATCTTCTGCAATACATTATAGGAGCCTGCATCTGGTCATTTGAATTTTTATATCGCATATGACTCCTCACTGCCAGTGGTCACAGGCATTCTTTATGCCATGGTGCCTGGGACGATATATTCCCTTGGAACAGCACGTCATTTCGAACTGATGTCTCAATTTCGGGAGGGCCAAGTGAGTGACTGTTCCATGCGTCCAGCATTCGTTCCGGTTCCAATATTAATTATTGGATTTTTTGGTACTTCTATTTACTAGTTACGAGGATGTTTCGCATTGACGGAAGTGTCTCATGGAACGAATGCCAAGGGGGTCAGGACGACTGCCACGTACGACGTTGAGTCACAGAGTTTTATTATTAACACGCCTGATTTTGAAGCTGCAAAATTTTGGATCGGAGGCTTAGGTGCGTTCGTCAGGAGATAAATCTGACAATGAATCAAAATTTAATAGGAATTCCTTGTGTTTTTGCGAAAAAAATCATCTATGAGTTCATTGTTGGATCGTACACGCATGAAAAAATTCAATAGAAAACCTAAAATTCGCTAGAAAATTCTATTGGAATTCTACAGGAATTCTATGGTTTTCCTAAAGAATTTCCATTGGAATGCTATTGAAAAATTCTATTTGTTTTTTTGCGCTAATACTGTTGGATATTCAATAAGAAAAAGTCAATAGATTTCGAATTTCTGTTTGGAATTTTCTCTTGAGATTTTTTCTATGCTTGGGCATCAATTTTCTAAGTTTTTTCCATTCGGATTCTGCGATGGAAAATTAAACAAAGTCCAGCGGAAAAAATTTGGAAAATTTGTGCCCAATAATTCTAATAGAAAGATTTCAAGAGAAAAATTCTAACAGAAATTCGAAATCTATTGGCTGTTTCTTATCGAATATCTAATAGAATCAGCGCAAAAAAAATGGAATTTTTCAATAGAATTCCAATAGAAACCCTACGGAGTTCCAATAGAATTTTCTAGTGAATTTGCTAGGTTTTCTATTGAATTTGTTCATACGTGTGATGAAAAAACTTTTGAAGAATTTGTTCATTTCTAAGCGGAAACGTCCTTTGAAATGAAGAAAGCATGTTTAAAAATTTGCGACATTTTCCTAGATGAAGCACTAGGATTTTATATCAGACTTTTACAATCATCCATGTCACGACGAAAGTAATGACTGACTGATTTCGTAGGAAAACAGGGAACTCACGTGCTCGCCTTTGCGCAACTAACGACCCCAGATAACGTCTGTCACGGACTCCACATTTTCATCATCCCTATCAGAGATCCAGAGACAATGATGCCGTTACCGGGGGTCACTATCGGTGATTTGGGAGAGAAAATCGGTCTCAATGGCGTTGACAATGGCTACGTTATGTTTAAAAATGTAAAAATACCTAGAGAAAATTTGTTGAATAAAATGGGGGACGTAACACCTGGTGGGAAATACGTATCGCCAGTGAAAGATCAGAGTAAACGATTCGGTGAGTAAAAAAGAGCGGGGTAAAATGGGCCATTTCCAAGGATTTTTTTAAGCTTCAGAGTGAGAGGAAAAGCGCTTACATTGTGTAGTTTTACGAGGGGATATTGAGGCTTGAGAGGAAGTCTATCTTATCCCCGGCGATTGTTATCAAGAATTCGTTATTGATTTTTATTGATTCATTTTGCCAGGTGCCTCACTTGGTGCACTGTCTCTGGGTCGAGTAAGTATCACAAATATCAGTGCTACCTACTGTTCTTTGGCAATGGTAATCGCTACAAGATATTGTGCTGTACGGAAACAATTCGGTCCATCGGACAATGAGGAATGGCCGGTTATTGAATATCAAGCGCTTGTAAGAACTTGAACCATCAATTAATTCTCATCTACTCACAAATGGTATTTGGACTACTTATTGATGATAATGAGAAACAATGCTCTACAGTATGGAAGACTGATGCCGTGGCTAGCGGTCACGTACGCCATCCAAATATTTTCGCGAGAATTCATGAGAAGAACTCAGGAGTTTCAAGGAAAAATTCTCCAGGGGGACAGTGGAGATGATCTCGCGTCAGAGGGTCTCGAAATTCATGCATTATCTTCTGCAGCTAAACCATACTGCTCCTGGATAGCGAGAGATGCTATTCAGGATTGTAGAGAAGTCTGCGGAGGCATGGGGTATCTCAAAGGTAGTCCTCTGCTGCTTATCATGGAGAAATTTTTCCAACCAATTGAGTAGTGAAGTGTTGGAGTGTAATAAAACGATCCGATTTTTTACATCTTGCTAAATATTAAATTATCCTGATACCGAGTGGTTTTAGGAGGAAATATCAAATACCATTATTCATTCTTCATTACAATCGCATTGATATAATTTCAGTGGCACGACTGGGGGATTTACGTGCTGATCATGATGCCAATTGCACCTACGAGGGGGAAAACAACGTGTTGATTCAACAAGCGAGCAATTGGCTGCTAGGATTCTCTCACAATTTTTATGCAAAGCGAGACATTATCTCTCCCCTCGGCACGATCGACTTTCTGGTGCGTGGGGAAGAGATCCTCAGAGACCGATTCCGATCTACGTCTAGTGAAGATGCTGTAGACCCACAGAGTGAGTTCATGAGTGAGCAACGACAAGATATATATTTGTATATAATTAATGTTTTTTTTCTCTTGATATCAGATATAATCAAGGGCCTCCAGTGGTTGGTTTGTCACTATCTCAACGCAACTCACAGACGCGTCGAGGGTCTGAAACGTGAAGGAAAAAGTCAGTTCGTCATCCGAAACGAATCACAAACATTCTTTGCACGCTCTCTATCACTAGTTTATGCAGAAGTACGTATTGGTTTGATGTAAAATCAGTAGCGAAAATGTTTTTTGACATGTCCAAGCGAATTTAGTAGACTGAATTGTCATCTCAACATTATTGAAGGAATAATCCCATGTTCCATTTATATAATTCAATTCCAGCACGCAGTTTTCAAAACATTTCTAAATACATTGAGCGATGAAAAGTGGGGGAATAATGAGCGAATAGTCCTGCGGAAATTGTGTTCCCTCTACGGCGCCTCAGCACTCGAGAGAAGACTGGGAGATTTGTATGCTGGAGGGTATGCCGAGCCCTCATCGAATATGGACCAATACCTGAGGGAAGGAGTAATAAATTTATCGAAGGAACTTGTGAACGAGGCAGTGGCCCTTGTCGATGTCCTAGCACCACCTGATTTCATACTGAATTCACCCCTCGGCATGTCTGATGGCAGAGTTTATGAGCACTTGGAGAGATTTTTGAAACAAGACACCGACAACTTTGAGAGACCAGCATGGTGGAAAGAAATGATACCGTCAAAGTTGTGATTGAATGATTCTTCTTTTTTCTATTATTTTTTTAATTGGTGTAGTCTTACAATTGCCTAAAATCAATGGTGTATGTATTTTTCTAATAAAATTTTTACGAGTATCTTCCATAGTGGTGTACAAAAAATTCACAATGACCATCATGAATTTATGGATATGATTGAATACAAAAAAATCTTGACAAGAATTTCACTATCTTCATCAGATTCAGACATATCTTCTCTAAAAACTCAAATCCGAATTTAGAACAGAATTATCTTGCTGATTATACCAACATCCACCCGATAATAATTGATTCGAATACCGAATACATGCGCATGAACATGAAGCAAACGAAAGTGTATTAAAAATTCACGATCATTCTGAAATGAATCGACAATGAAGGTAACTCGGGATTTTCTGAGACGCGGCCCACTTACTCTCTATCGACAACGGGCGACGATTGATTGGAAATCATTAAGATTGAATCTCTTTGGATCGGGTACTGTCGAATACCAGGTAATCCTTCAACATTCAATTCCAATTTATTTTATTATTTATTACTCACACCCGTCATCTATATTTCTTACAGGACAGGCTCTTTAAATTCATGGAAAGTAGTCCGGAATTTGCGAGACCCACGAGAGCTTGTACATTAGACGAGCAAAGAAGAAGATATTTGAAACAGACATTTCTTCTTTTCAAAAACAACTTAATTGTATGTATTTCCGTTATGATCATATCCACATCAGGACTTCAATGTATGAAAACATTCAAGAGAAAAGACCTAACGCATGTAGTGGAGAATTCTATTGCACAATTCACTTTCTCATTAATAATTTTTATTGGAAAGGCCGTCAAAATGTAATTGTTTAAATGAATCCAATTGTGATTCGCAATATTCTTCCCAATGCCATCTTGACCGACTTCAATCATGAAATGGAGTGCATCATTTGTCGTTGAAAAAATTTATTTTGAAACCAATATTCAGGGAAAGGTAAAAAATTTCAATGTTGAGGCAATGGTGGCTGCCAACATCGGGGCAATGTTGGCTGCCAACGTAGAAGGAATGTTGGCTGCCAACATTGAGGTAATGTTGGCTGCCAATAAAGAGGTAATGTTGGTTGCCAACATTGGGGTAACGTTGGCTGTCAACATTGGTGTAACGTTTGACTGCCAACGTTGGGGCAATGTTGGATAGCGAAATTGGGGAAATGTTGGTTGTCGACGTTGGGACAATGTTGGCTATTGACATTGGAGCAATGTTAGGTACCGATATTGGGGAAATGTTGGCTGTCAGCATTGAAACAGTGTTGGCTGGTAACGTTGATGCAATGTTGGCAACCAACATTGGGGCAATGTTGACTGTCAACATTGGGGTAACGTTGACTGTCAACATTGAGGTAATGTTGGCTGCTAACATTGGTGGAACGTTGACTCTCAACGTTGGGGCAATGATGGTTACCGACATTGGGGAAATGTTGGTTGTCGACGTTGAGTCAATATTGGCAACCAACGTTAAGGCAATGTTGAATTCAATGAATCATTGAATTCAATTTAAAATACATCGTCATAGAATTTTCATTTGGAAGCAAATTGCTAATTTATTACCAAAAATATATTCCCTATGTCGTGACGAAAGAAATTTACCGCTTGTATTTCTTGGATTATTTACCTTTAAAGTTTTTTTTTAATTAAAAAAATGTAAATGATTTTACGTTTCGAATACTTCACAGGAAACTTCTTCAGGTCACTTGAATAGCTGGATCGCGTACGATTCGTCTCTCTTCCTAATTGCACATCTTCTCTATTTGATGGTGCCTGAGACGGTAGCGTCCCTCGGCACAGAACGTCACACCGCATTTATCTCAAGCGTTGAGAAGGGAGAAGTGAGTGAATGAGTGGTCAGTTTTTCTTTCCGTTTACAAAACTCGTTGCTATATTTTTGATGCATTAATATATTAGTTTCGAGGATGTTTTGCATTGACTGAGGTGTCTCATGGGACTAATGTCAAGGGAATCAGGACAACGGCCACATATGACGATCAATCACAATGTTTCATAATTAATACACCTGATTTTGAAGCTGCCAAATTCCTGATCAGCGGCTTAGGTGATTCTATAGTTATTTATTTATTTTTATTTTTTATTCATTAATACCTGCTACCTGATATTTTTCATCACAATGTGTGGAAAAGGGACGTTTTAAAGTTACTTTTTCGCACAGCGTGATGAAAAAAACTTTTCTGACGAGTGTGAGGGTTGCAGACCGAGGCGAAGCCGAGGAATACAATCATACGAGTCAGAACAGTTGTTTTCGACCGAGTGACGAGCATAATTGTTTTGCACAATGTCCGTAAAGAGCGTTTGACGTAAATCGACGTTTTACGGACAGTGTAACGAAAACAACTTTCCGGCCTTGTAACGAAAATAGTTATGTACTATCTGCCTTAGATCACGAGATATTCATTGAAAATTGACCAATAGTTGAAATTGACTTGGACTGTTTTACCGCTTCGCTACTGATTTCTTCTTTGATCTTTTCGCTGGAGTTGAATCATTCATTTACGATTCACTCTCAGCCGCAGAATAAAGAGTAACATAGGATCCTAGATTTTAAAAAACAGAATTGCACGTTCTCATTTGTTGAAATAATACTTCTGTTTGGAATTGAAGGATCATTTTTTATACTTATTATTTGGGGTTTGAAGAACAGGTCTTGAAGAGAAATTAGCTGACATATAATTTTTTCCATTGACCTGCTCGTCTAAGGTCTCTGACATCCGGACCTCAACTGAAGTGTAACATTTTGCTTTGAATGCGAATAATGAATGATCGATTTTCAGGAAATCAGGGAACTCATGCACTCGTTTTTGCACAACTAATGACCCCAGATAATATCTTTCGTGGCTTGCATATTTTCATCATCCCCATTCGTGATCCAGAGACTATGCTGGCTTTACCAGGGATCACTATCGGTGATTTGGGAGAAAAAGTCGGTTTCAACGGCGTTGATAATGGTTACGTTATATTTCGAAATGTGAAAATACCTAGAGAAAATTTACTGAACAAAATGGGAGATGTAACTCCTGATGGGAAATACATATCGCCAGTGAAAGATCAGAGTATACGATTCGGTGAGTAAAAAAGAGTGGGGTATAATGGGCCAGTTCGAAGGATTTTTTAAAATTCAGAGTGAGAGAAAGAACGCTCAAATCGTATAGTTTTATGAGGGGATATTGAGGCTTGAGAGGTAGTCGATGTTACCCCCGACGATTGTTATCAGGAATTCGTTATTGATTTTTATTGATTCATTTTGCCAGGTGCTTCACTTGGTGCACTGTCTCTGGGTCGAGTAAGTATCACAAATATCAGTGCTACCTACTGTTCTTTGGCAATGGTAATCGCTACAAGATATTGTGCTGTACGGAAACAATTCGGTCCATCGGACAATGAGGAATGGCCGGTTATTGAATATCAAGCGCTTGTAAGAACTTGAAACATCAATTAATTCTCATCTACTCACAAATGGTATTTGGACTACGTACTGATGATAATGAGAAATAATGCTCTGCAGTATGGAAGACTGATGCCGTGGCTAGCGGTCACGTACGCCATCCAAATATTTTCGCGAGAATTCATAAGAAGAACTCAGGAGTTTCAAGGAAAAATTCTCCAGGAGGACAGTGGAGATGATCTCGCGTCAGAGGGTCTCGAAATTCATGCATTATCTTCTGCAGCTAAACCATACTGCTCCTGGATAGCGAGAGATGCTATTCAGGATTGTAGAGAAGTCTGCGGAGGCATGGGGTATCTCAAAGGTAGTCCTCTACTGCTTATCATGGAGAAATTGTTCCAACCAATTGAGTAGTGAAGTGTTGGAGTGTAATAAAACGACCCAATTTTTTACATCTTGCTAAATATTGAATTATCCTGATATCGAGTGGTTTTAGGAGGAAATATCAAATACCATTATTCATTCTTCATTACAATCGCATTGATATAATTTCAGTGGCACGACTGGGGGATTTACGTGCTGATCATGATGCCAATTGCACCTACGAGGGGGAAAACAACGTGTTGATTCAACAAGCGAGCAATTGGCTGCTAGGATTCTCTCACAATTTTTATGCAAAGCGAGACATTATCTCTCCCCTCGGCACGATCGACTTTCTGGTGCGTGGGGAAGAGATCCTCAGAGACCGATTCCGATCTACGTCTAGTGAAGATGCTGTAGACCCACAGAGTGAGTTCATGAGTGAGCAACGACAAGATATATATTTGTATATAATTAATGTTTTTTTTCTCTTGATATCAGATATAATCAAGGGCCTCCAGTGGTTGGTTTGTCACTATCTCAACGCAACTCACAGTCGCGTCGAGGGTCTGAAACGTGAAGGAAAAAGTCAGTTCGTCATCAGAAACGAATCACAAACATTCTTTGCACGCTCTCTATCACTAGTTTATGCAGAAGTACGTATTGGTTTGATGTAAAATCAGTAGCGAAAATGTTTTTTGACATGTCCAAGCGAATTTAGTAGACTGAATTGTCATCTCAACATTATTGAAGGAATAACCCCATGTTCCATTTATGTAATTCAATTTCAGCACGCAGTTTTCAAAACATTTCTAAATACATTGAGCGATGAAAAGTGGGGGAATAATGAGCGAATAGTCCTGCGGAAATTGTGTTCCCTCTACGGCGCCTCAGCACTCGAGAGAAGACTGGGAGATTTGTATGCTGGAGGGTATGCCGAGCCCTCATCGAATATGGACCAATACCTGAGGGAAGGAGTAATAAATTTATCGAAGGAACTTGTGAACGAGGCAGTGGCCCTTGTCGATGTCCTAGCACCACCTGATTTCATACTGAATTCACCCCTCGGCATGTCTGATGGCAGAGTTTATGAGCACTTGGAGAGATTTTTGAAACAAGACACCGACAACTTTGAGAGACCAGCGTGGTGGGAAGAAATGACACCGTCAAAGTTGTGATGCAATGATTCTTCATTTTTCTATTGTTTTTGCTTCCGAATCGAAGCTTCGTAATTGGTCGATTTGCTGATTCTCCAATTTTGCTTGGAAATGACTTGCACATGTTCCTTTTTCTTCCTCTGGGTCTCCCCCTGGGCTTTGCTCTGGACCTTGGATTTTGCAGTTTCGTTTTCTTTTCAATTAATCCACTGACAAAATCTTCGCCCGTCAAAACTTCTCAATAATTTTCCATTTACGTATGAAAAAATTCAATAGAAAACCTAGCGAATTCGCTAAAAAATTCTGTTGGAATTCTGTGAGAAATCTACGGGGTTTCTATAGGATTTTTATTGGAATTCTATTGACAAATTCTATGTTTTTTGCGCTGATTCTATTAGATATTCGATAAGAAAAAGTCAGTAGATTTCAAATTTCTGTTGCAATTTTTCTCATGAGAGTTTTTCTATTAGAAATTATTGGGCACATATTTTCTAAGTTTTTTCCACTGGATTTTGTTTTATTTTGTATTACAGAATCCGAGTGAAAGAAACTTAGAAAATTGATGCCCAAATTCTTATAGAAAAAATCTCAAGAGAAAATTCCAAACAGAAGTTCGAAATCTATTGACTTTTTCTAGCGAATTCGCTAGATTTTCTTTTGAATTTTTTCATGCATGTTCTACTGGATGGAAAATTCATATTCTCATCAGTACTCCAATGAAAAAAAAAGTTAATTAAAAAAATATATTTAATGAAAAAAAAATTTTTTTGCTTCAATTGCGTCACACGGACGAAAAAATTTAATAGAAAAACCTATCGAATTCGTTGGAAAATTCTATTGAATTTCTATTAAACTGTTCTATTAGTTTTTGGCCGATTCTATTGAAACGTTCAATGGAAAATATTCAGTAGAAAAAGTCAATAGAATTCAATTTTTCTATATAACTCATTCTATTGAGATATTTTCTACAGAATTTCTTCGGCTCAAATTTTCCAAGTTATTTCGTTTAATTTCCTTGATGAGAAGAAAAGAAAAATAGAATGAAAAAAACTTAGAAAATTTGAGTCGAGCAAATTCTATAAAAAATGTATGAAAAGAATAAGTTAATAGAAAAATCGAATTCTGTTGACTTTTTTTATTGAATGTTTTCTATTGAACATGTCAATAGAATCAGCCAAAAACTAATAGAAATTCAATATAATTTTTTAACGAATTCGATAGGTTTTTCTATTAAATTTTTTCGTGCGTCCAAACAGCCGTTTTTTGACTGTTTCATTTTACCCCGCTCTCCCCTAGAAATAAAAAATTAAAGAGGCAAATAACGCATCAAGAAACGATCAGATGTCTTCTGACAGAAAGACTCAGCCCCCTGCTTGTTTTTAGTCAGTATGGTGCTACAATTGCCTGAAATCAATGCTATATGTATTTTTTAAATAAACAGTCTTATGAATACATCGACAATTTTGTACTGTAATGATCCAAGAACTATTGTTTCGTCACAACTCTGGGTGATGCTGCACAGGCGTCAGTTCGTCATCCGCTTCCTTGAACCAGTCTCTGTAGACCCGAACCGGATCGTTCATCCAAAATTTATGAAAAGACACAGGTTCTTGGGAGGCGAGGAAGCCCTCTGCATAGTCCTGAGGCCGAGCCTGATGGAATAACGGCGATGTTGAGGGTCGGAGGCCGAGTCGAATCAGACAGATGCCGAAGAGGAACATGTCGTCTGGTGCAGACATCATCGGGCAATTGCAAGAATTCGATGTCAGGATTTTTGTGAGCAGTGGAGCGGACATGGCCAGGCCAGCCCCACCAGTAAGATACTCGTAACCAGTCTCTTCTGTTGCTCGGAATCCGTAACGTTCACCTATGGCCATCGGTTGCTTCGCATCGTAGCATGACAGCATTTTGGATAATCGTGAGACGCTTCATATTTTTGGAATGAAAGAGGAAATTATTGGGTCCACGTTCAAAAAATTTTTGGGAAAAAATTGCAGGCGGCTGTATCTTTGATACAGCTGTAATTGTACGTGGATACGTCCATGGTCTTTCCTTCTCTCTAGATTGTTAATAGAATCCCAATAGAATTTCTAGAGAATGCCAAGAGAATTTTCTAGCGAATTCGATAAAATTTTCTATTGAATTTTTTCATACGTGAATTCAGATCCTTCAATCGTAAATAGAACAGAATTTCAATAATTGATATGATTATTTCAGCAATTTTCATTTTGACAACTGACCTAATTTAATGGGTGATTAAAAATCACTTGTGCATGAGGTGATTGAGAAATTAAAAAATTGCAAATATGATTCATTATCGTTGGATTGTACCTGAGAATAGTGTCATCATCAGTCACGACTAGCCACTCGATCTTTTTCTTTTTCATTATTTTCTCTGCATGTTGCAGAAGACCGTATGTCTTCGCGCAGTGTCCCTCAGTGGTATGAGGTACGACGATTACATTCTCTAATTTCTCATCTGAAATGTTACAATTCTCTTTATATCTAATTATTCTCTCTAAAATTATTAGATATTTTTTTCCATTTGAAGTAAATTCTCTTTTAAGGCCCGGGGAGATTATGTTTCGAACGTGATCTTGGTTGTACTTTTTATTTTGATAATCTGAAATGATCTCCAATTGCAATTTAGCTTTACATAGCCTTTGAGTCTCCAAAAATTATGATTGCACAATTAAAAAAACGTTGAAAAAAAACTGAACATTTTCAAAGAGCATTTTTGATTAATGTTGGAAAAATAAACCCAAAATAGGGATGAGGAAATTCCAAATTAATAATTTGATGTATCTAATGGCTGATGTCAGATAGTTAATTACCGTGATAAATTATTCATTCACTATTTCCTCTCTATCGGACTTATTTCTTGATCTTTATTAGAAACGCTCTTTGAAAATGTTCACTGTTTTAAACTTTTTTTGATTGTACAATCATAATTTTTAAGGACTCCTGCGTGATGTAAAATCCGATGGAAATTGTGATGTATTTTACATTATGAAGATTGAAAAACAATCGAGACAACGTTGGAAAGATAATCCACTCAGGCCTTAACACCTTTAAAATCTTTAAATAAGGTATTAGTTTTTTGGTGTAAGTTCTACCTTCTTCATTACTGAAGAGAGCGTAATGCACGGTATGTCTCAACCACGTCTTCAACAAAAGCGGCATCCTCTTACTGTGATTTACGTTGTACGTCTTTACAGCAAAGAAAATGTTTCCTATCGACACAGGATTTCCCTGAACACGAAAAAATACTATGAAATTTCAAAAGAGTTCAATGCACAGATCAACAATTGCAAAAAGAGAATTGAGGGAATTTTATGAACGATGATAATCTTACGCATGACGGAAATTTCTTTGGATACGTCGCGCAGGTTTCGGCGGAATCAACACAAAACTCCGATAGGTGAATGAGTTGAGGACCTTTCCCATTGTTATGTACGAAATTTGAGAATTCGTACGAGGCATCGATTATGAAATCGTTGTCCGAAGGTACTCCTGAGCGCACTCTGATCTTGAGGGTCTCGAGGAGTGCTCTAGAAATGCCGAAACCGGAAGCGATGTTCGGATATGAGAGTCTCGTCAAGGGATCAGCGAAATGATGGATTATTGTCGGCCCAGTGTCGTGGAGCGCGTGGCCAATCCACAGAGCCTTTGAAAATGAAAACAAGACGAAAATTCTCTATTATTAAAAAATGGGTGAAACATTTCCGGTCGGCAATCTATTTCGCGAAGCTTATGCTAGACGTTAGGAATATTCAAAAATATTAAAGTTTATCTACGCTCGAAAAATTTCAATCTCAAGATCTTTTTCTATCTTCATTCTTAAAACAAGTGGAACATTGCTTTTTTCACAACATAGTTAATATATTTTTGGTAATAAATTAGCAATTTGCTTTTGAAATGAAAATTTTTTATTTCAATAAAAAATCGTTGTCAGCCAACATTGCCCCAACGTTCGTAGCCAATATTACCCCAATGTTAGTAGACACCATTTTCCCAACGTTGGCATCCAACATTACTTCAATGCTGACAGCCAATATTGCGCCAATGTCGATAGCCAACAAAGCCCCAATGTCGGTTGCCAACATTACTCCAACGTTGTAGACATCATTGCTCCAACATTGTTAACCAACATTGCCCCAACATTGCCCCGATGTTGGTAGCCAACATTGCCCTANCAATAGAATTCAATTTTTCTATATAACTCATTCTATTGAGATATTTTCTACAGAATTTCTTCGGCTCAAATTTTCCAAGTTATTTCGTTTAATTTCCTTGATGAGAAGAAAAGAAAAATAGAATGAAAAAAACTTAGAAAATTTGAGTCGAGCAAATTCTATAAAAAATGTATGAAAAGAATAAGTTAATAGAAAAATCGAATTCTGTTGACTTTTTTTATTGAATGTTTTCTATTGAACATGTCAATAGAATCAGCCAAAAACTAATAGAAATTCAATATAATTTTTTAACGAATTCGATAGGTTTTTCTATTAAATTTTTTCGTGCGTCCAAACAGCCGTTTTTTGACTGTTTCATTTTACCCCGCTCTCCCCTAGAAATAAAAAATTAAAGAGGCAAATAACGCATCAAGAAACGATCAGATGTCTTCTGACAGAAAGACTCAGCCCCCTGCTTGTTTTTAGTCAGTATGGTGCTACAATTGCCTGAAATCAATGCTATATGTATTTTTTAAATAAACAGTCTTATGAATACATCGACAATTTTGTACTGTAATGATCCAAGAACTATTGTTTCGTCACAACTCTGGGTGATGCTGCACAGGCGTCAGTTCGTCATCCGCTTCCTTGAACCAGTCTCTGTAGACCCGAACCGGATCGTTCATCCAAAATTTATGAAAAGACACAGGTTCTTGGGAGGCGAGGAAGCCCTCTGCATAGTCCTGAGGCCGAGCCTGATGGAATAACGGCGATGTTGAGGGTCGGAGGCCGAGTCGAATCAGACAGATGCCGAAGAGGAACATGTCGTCTGGTGCAGACATCATCGGGCAATTGCAAGAATTCGATGTCAGGATTTTTGTGAGCAGTGGAGCGGACATGGCCAGGCCAGCCCCACCAGTAAGATACTCGTAACCAGTCTCTTCTGTTGCTCGGAATCCGTAACGTTCACCTATGGCCATCGGTTGCTTCGCATCGTAGCATGACAGCATTTTGGATAATCGTGAGACGCTTCATATTTTTGGAATGAAAGAGGAAATTATTGGGTCCACGTTCAAAAAATTTTTGGGAAAAAATTGCAGGCGGCTGTATCTTTGATACAGCTGTAATTGTACGTGGATACGTCCATGGTCTTTCCTTCTCTCTAGATTGTTAATAGAATCCCAATAGAATTTCTAGAGAATGCCAAGAGAATTTTCTAGCGAATTCGATAAAATTTTCTATTGAATTTTTTCATACGTGAATTCAGATCCTTCAATCGTAAATAGAACAGAATTTCAATAATTGATATGATTATTTCAGCAATTTTCATTTTGACAACTGACCTAATTTAATGGGTGATTAAAAATCACTTGTGCATGAGGTGATTGAGAAATTAAAAAATTGCAAATATGATTCATTATCGTTGGATTGTACCTGAGAATAGTGTCATCATCAGTCACGACTAGCCACTCGATCTTTTTCTTTTTCATTATTTTCTCTGCATGTTGCAGAAGACCGTATGTCTTCGCGCAGTGTCCCTCAGTGGTATGAGGTACGACGATTACATTCTCTAATTTCTCATCTGAAATGTTACAATTCTCTTTATATCTAATTATTCTCTCTAAAATTATTAGATATTTTTTTCCATTTGAAGTAAATTCTCTTTTAAGGCCCGGGGAGATTATGTTTCGAACGTGATCTTGGTTGTACTTTTTATTTTGATAATCTGAAATGATCTCCAATTGCAATTTAGCTTTACATAGCCTTTGAGTCTCCAAAAATTATGATTGCACAATTAAAAAAACGTTGAAAAAAAACTGAACATTTTCAAAGAGCATTTTTGATTAATGTTGGAAAAATAAACCCAAAATAGGGATGAGGAAATTCCAAATTAATAATTTGATGTATCTAATGGCTGATGTCAGATAGTTAATTACCGTGATAAATTATTCATTCACTATTTCCTCTCTATCGGACTTATTTCTTGATCTTTATTAGAAACGCTCTTTGAAAATGTTCACTGTTTTAAACTTTTTTTGATTGTACAATCATAATTTTTAAGGACTCCTGCGTGATGTAAAATCCGATGGAAATTGTGATGTATTTTACATTATGAAGATTGAAAAACAATCGAGACAACGTTGGAAAGATAATCCACTCAGGCCTTAACACCTTTAAAATCTTTAAATAAGGTATTAGTTTTTTGGTGTAAGTTCTACCTTCTTCATTACTGAAGAGAGCGTAATGCACGGTATGTCTCAACCACGTCTTCAACAAAAGCGGCATCCTCTTACTGTGATTTACGTTGTACGTCTTTACAGCAAAGAAAATGTTTCCTATCGACACAGGATTTCCCTGAACACGAAAAAATACTATGAAATTTCAAAAGAGTTCAATGCACAGATCAACAATTGCAAAAAGAGAATTGAGGGAATTTTATGAACGATGATAATCTTACGCATGACGGAAATTTCTTTGGATACGTCGCGCAGGTTTCGGCGGAATCAACACAAAACTCCGATAGGTGAATGAGTTGAGGACCTTTCCCATTGTTATGTACGAAATTTGAGAATTCGTACGAGGCATCGATTATGAAATCGTTGTCCGAAGGTACTCCTGAGCGCACTCTGATCTTGAGGGTCTCGAGGAGTGCTCTAGAAATGCCGAAACCGGAAGCGATGTTCGGATATGAGAGTCTCGTCAAGGGATCAGCGAAATGATGGATTATTGTCGGCCCAGTGTCGTGGAGCGCGTGGCCAATCCACAGAGCCTTTGAAAATGAAAACAAGACGAAAATTCTCTATTATTAAAAAATGGGTGAAACATTTCCGGTCGGCAATCTATTTCGCGAAGCTTATGCTAGACGTTAGGAATATTCAAAAATATTAAAGTTTATCTACGCTCGAAAAATTTCAATCTCAAGATCTTTTTCTATCTTCATTCTTAAAACAAGTGGAACATTGCTTTTTTCACAACATAGTTAATATATTTTTGGTAATAAATTAGCAATTTGCTTTTGAAATGAAAATTTTTTATTTCAATAAAAAATCGTTGTCAGCCAACATTGCCCCAACGTTCGTAGCCAATATTACCCCAATGTTAGTAGACACCATTTTCCCAACGTTGGCATCCAACATTACTTCAATGCTGACAGCCAATATTGCGCCAATGTCGATAGCCAACAAAGCCCCAATGTCGGTTGCCAACATTACTCCAACGTTGTAGACATCATTGCTCCAACATTGTTAACCAACATTGCCCCAACATTGCCCCGATGTTGGTAGCCAACATTGCCCTAATGTTGGTAGCCAACATTGCCCTAATGTTGGTAGCCAACATTGCCCCAATGTCGGTAGCCAACATTACTCCAACGTTTGTAGACATCATTGCCCCAACATTGTTAACCAACATTGTCCCAACATTGCCCCGATGTTGGTAGCCAACATTGCCCTAATGTTGGTAGCCAACATTGCCCCAATGTCGGTAGCCAACATTACTCCAACGTTGGTAGACATCATTGCCCCAACATTGTTAACCAACATTGTCCCAACATTGCCCCGATGTTGGTAGCCAACATTGCCCTAATGTTGGTAGCCAACATTGCCCCAATGTCGGTAGCCAACATTACTCCAACGTTGGTAGACATCATTGCCCCAACATTGTTAACCAACATTGTCCCAACATTGCCCCGATGTTGGTAGCCAACATTGCCCTAATGTTGGTAGCCAACATTGCCCCAATGTCGGTAGCCAACATTACTCCAACGTTGGTAGACATCATTGCCCCAACATTGTTAACCAACATTGTCCCAACATTGCCCCGATGTTGGTAGCCAACATTGCCCTAATGTTGGTAGCCAACATTGCCCCAATGTCGGTAGCCAACATTACTCCAACGTTGGTAGACATCATTGCTCCAACATTGTTAATCAACATTGCCCCAACATTGCCCTAATGTTGGTAGCCAACATTCCCCCAATGTCGGTAGTCCACATTACCACAATGTTAGTAGACAACATTGCCCCAACGTTGGCAGTCAACATTCGCCCAACATTGCCCCGATGTTGATAACCAACATTACCCCAACGTTGACAGCCAACATTACCCCTACGTCGGTGCCAATATTACCCCAAAGTTGGCAGCCAACATTTCCCCAACGTTAAAATTTTTCACCTTTATTCTCATGATCGAATTCGAAGCTGGCATTGGCAAGATGCACATTTTAAATCACAATTCGATTCATTTAAACAGATATTTTTCGTCACTCTTCAGCATTTTCTCCTGAAATCACTCATTGCCAAGATAATCCCTTAATCATTATCGAGACAGAAAAAACTTGGCTGCTTCATCAAAATCATTTTTACATACCTCCGACGAATTAAATCTCGACAAGACTCTCATCAATCTCGACAGATTTACCCCAGTATTCTCTGAACAAAACAGATACCATTGTGCATTCGCATGTTGAGAATGGAGAACGGGAATCAGAGGGTAAATCGCCCAGGCCCCTTTCATTTCCCTCTCCCCGATCCTCTGGTGAGTCAATAAAAAATTAGGCGCATTCTTCTGAAGATCATAAGCTTGCTCCGTGATATTCTGTCTCAGTAACTCTGCCTGACCTGCACTATATCCATTCCTCTGACTCAGAACAATGATAACAATATCTTCAGGTTCTAAAATACAAAATTGCAGGCGAGGAATTAAGGAAAATAGTATATGTCAACAAATCGAGGGGATTAATGCACAATTTTTCTTCACCTGTTGATGCAAATACTAGTAGAACTGGAAGAAATGCAAGCAGATGCACCAGATTTCCCATGATAATTGACACACAGGAAATGGTACTAAACAGCATTATGACATGACTTTCAATTGAGTCATTCACTTTTTTATGAGGTATTCCACGTCAAATGAGTCAATCGCTGACTCTCATCCTCTTGGAAATTAATATCACGATTAAAATCCAAAGTGCGAGGTTCGAATTGTCCGGGCTTTTAAATTCACTACGAAAGTCAAAAATATTTCTAAAAATACTTCTCTTCCTTATAAAAAAATAATAACACTCGCTGAATCAAAAATAATAATAAAAACATCCTCAATCATCAAAAAGTCCATAAATCATCAATTTTTTATTTTCAGTTTTTCAACTGGAGATGACGACTTCATTGAAGATAACCTCTTCATCTCTACCGTAATACCCATTCGTAATCAATTCCTTCAGCCCACATCACTATCAATTCCACAAAACATTGAAAAATAAATAAAATTTTACACAGGAAATTCACCAAAATTTTCAATTAACCTCAGCTGCTGAATTCGGTAAATAAAAAAACAGAAATCGAAAAGATACTACTCTAATCAAAATAAAAACCGCGTAGGCGTCGGCAGTTGCCTGCGGGGAGGTGGGTATTCATTACCCAATAATAAAATAAAAATGAACATACAGATTACTGAATAATATATCACGATTAAAATCCAAAAGTACGAGATTCGAATTGTCCGGGCTTTTAAATTCACTACGAAAGTCAAAAATATTTCTAAAAATACTTCTCTTCCTTATAAAAAAATAATAACACTCCCTCAATCAAAAATAATAATAAAAACTTCCCCAATCATCAAAAAGTCCATATATCATCAATTTTTTATTTTCAGTTTTTCAACTGGAGATGACTTCATTGAAGATAACCTCTTCATCTCTACTGTAATACCCATTCGTAATCAATTCCTTCAGCCCACATCACTATCAATTCCACAAAACATTGAAAAATAAATAAAATTTTACACAGGAAATTCACCAAAATTTTCAATTACCCTCAGCTGCTGAATTCGGTAAATAAAAAAACAGAAATCGAAAAGATACTACTCTAATCAAAATAAAAACCGCGTAGGCGTCGGCAGTTGCCTGCGGGGAGGTGGGTATTCATTACCCAATAATAAAATAAAAATGAACATACAGATTACTGAATAATATATCACGATTAAAATCCAAAAGTACGAGATTCGAATTGTCCGGGCTTTTAAATTCACTACGAAAGTCAAAAATATTTCTAAAAATACTTCTCTTCCTTATAAAAAAATAATAACACTCGCTGAATCAAAAATAATAATAAAAACTTCCTCCATCATCAAAAAGTCCATAAATCATCAATTTTTTATTTTCAGTTTTTCAACTGGAGATGACTTCATTGAAGATAACCTCTTCATCTCTACCGTAATACCCATTCGTAATCAATCCTTTCAGCCCACATCACTATCAATTCCACAAAACATTGAAAAATAAATAAAATTTTACACAGGAAATTCCCCAAAATTTTCAATTACCCTCAGCTGCTGAATTCGGTAAATAAAAAAACAGAAATCGAAAAGACACTACTCTAATCAAAATAAAAACCGCGTAGGTGTCCACAGTTGCCCGTAGGGGGAGTGATTAGTAAATCCGTCGCCATAATAGCGACGGGAGCCTCTCTCGTCACCACGACGATCAATTTCGCGGTGGAAACCCTCGATAAATCGGTGTAAAGCCCCCAAAGTGATAATAAACAAATCCTGGGAGGTGGTGGTGAACTCACCAGTGGAGAAACGGATTAATCCGTCAACGTAACAGCTCTTCCAAAAACATCTGTAGATTAATTTTCTTGGCGTTAACGTGCCCTTGCGCAAGTTCAGCTTGACTGGATTCAATCGACTCTTGGAAAAGTCGTATTTTCTCATTAAAATCGGCATTCAAACATGGCTTATTGAAAAAATGAAGGGTCATCAGATATTCACTGTTTCTCCATACGGAGGAGAGTTCATCTCTGTCTACGATTACAATATTTTTTTGCCATTTGGGGAGGTGGGGGCCTGTCCTTGCAATGGACAAAAAGTCGTCGAAATCACATCACAGTCAGCAGAGCGCGAATAAGAGCGCCACTGCTGAGTCTAAAAAAAATCAAGGTAATTGTTGTTGTTGTTATTATTTTTTCTTTCGCGAGTACGAATATTCGGAAAAGGGAGGTAATGGGACAACGAAGCAGGAGAGAATGAGTTGCTTTGTGTGACTGAAGTGACTGAGCCTAGGGGAGGTTGGGGTAAAATGGACACTTGACTTTTTTAAAAATATTAGTGACGGGTTGAAATGTTGGAGAAATTTAATCTTTTTTTTTTTCAATACAAAGAACAATTCTTTCCCTTTGTGATGAGCCTAAACTGAGCAATATTGATACATTTGTTTCTGAGTTCTGAATAATTTTAAAAGTCTAAAGTGTCCACTTTACCCTACCCTCCCCTATTTACACCGGGGAGTTGGACACGAGTAGAGTTGAAGTAACTCGTCGGTGGAAACACAACGATGAGTTAGTCTCAGTGGAAACGAGACAGAAGTTGGCTATTATTTCCCATGTAAAAGGAGATCCATCGAACTCCTTTGAGTTTATGTCAACGCTAACAACACATCAAGTTCGTACGGTGTAAATAGACTCACTGAAGCTTGGAATGCAGTCAGTGGAATGGAGTTTCACTGATTGTAGCTTAAAATGAAATTAATCTTATGAATTTCACTGATTAGAGCCTAAAATGGAGTCAGTTCCGTGAAATTTTACTGATTAAAGCTTGGAACGGAGTTAATTGCCTGGCTTTTTACTGATTAAAACTTGAAATGTGTTTAATTCGGGGAAATTGCATTGATTAAACTGAAGTTCATTTTGAAAAATTTCACTGATTGAAATTTGGAATTGTGTTAATCTTATGAATTTCACTGATAGAAGCTTAAAATGGCATTACTTTCATGAAATTTCATTCATTCAAGCGTAAAATGTGATTAATCCCGGAAAATTGCGTTGATTAAACTGAAGTTTATTTTGCAAAATTTCGAGAATCTAAAATCGAATTAATTTCTTGTGTCTAAACCAATCAAGGCCGTTGTTGTGATTATAATTTTCTTAATGAGAGGCGAGAATGACTCGTTTTTTCCATTTTTGTACATAGGGAAGAGTAAAGTGCACTATTTTTAAATTTTAATAACGACAGATAGAAGATAAATAAAAAAAACCAATCGTGCCATTTCTTTCAACTGTCGAAACACTCCCACTAATTATTGATTTTGATTTGAAATTTGTCCAGATATCGTCAATGGTAAAGCTTTTCCAAAGGCCCCACGTCGGCGCGAGCCACCTGGTGCCAATAGTTACTCCAAGAATGAACAATCTCGCAAATCCAATCATCAGAAGACGCGAAACTTTGATAAGAGACCCAAACCTAAAGGACAATATTATGGCGGTGCAAAGGAGGATACCAAGGTGCATTACCTTCTCATTATGTGGGGCTTTCTACATCTTCAGTAACTTTAGAACAAAAAAAAATTTCTCCCGTTGAAACTTGAAATGGGATTAATTTTGTGACATTTCACTCATTCAAACTTGATTAATTTTGAAAATTTGATTAATTTCATGAAATGTCACCGATGAAGGCTTAAAATGGAGTTAATTTCATGAATCACTGGCTCAAGCTTAAAAGCGAATTGATTTCGTAGAATTTCACTGGTTAAAGTTCAAAATGAGATTAATGTCGTCCAATTTTACTGACGAATGTTTAAGATGATATTAATTTCATGAAATTTCATCAATTAAAGCTTCAAATGGGAATAATTTCGTGAAATATCACTAATTAACACTTAAAACAGAGTTAGTGCCATAAAATTTCACTGCCTGAAGCTTAAAATGGCGTGAATTTCATGGAATTCCACCGATCGAAGCCTAATACGGAATTGATTTCATGGAATTTCACTGATTGAAGCTCAATTTGAGATTAATTTCGTTAAATTGCCTTAATCAAAGTTTAAAATGGCATTAATTCCATGAAATTGCACTGATGGAAGCTTAAAGTGGAGTTTATTCTGCAAAATTTTACTAGTTGAAGCTTATACTGACATTGACCTTGTGAAATTCACTCATTAAAGATGATTGAGTTTATCCTGCACCAATAAAAAAATTTAAAAAATCAGGAAATGAAATTAATTCAACTAATTGTCTTCAGGTAGTGGATGAAGAAGTAGCCGAGTATGGCTCGGTGATGGCTCCAGGAAGTAAAAAGCAGAATTTGAATCATCTGCTGAATTTTCATTATGAACCGCGTGATAGGATTCACGGTGGCTGGAATAATTATGGGAGATCCAACTACAACAACAGCAATCGTTGGCTACCACCTGTCCAACGACACAAATACAACAAGGAGTTATTTCTACAAGCAAAGTGAGTTTGAATAATCATTCGATTTAAATAATGCTCTGGGATAGCTGGAGTAATAGCCATCTGTTGTACTAACCGTTGAGATTTTGTATTTAATGGACTCAATGGATCTGTTTTTAGCTGTCAGTTTGTCGTAACGAGTGATGGAGACTATTCTGTTTATTTGATTGATCCTGATACACTTGTGGATTGGAAATTAATCGAGCAAATTGTGAGTGGTTCATTTTTTTGCTTCCGAAGAAAATTTAATTCATAGATGTCATTTAATAATTCAATTCATGTATTAAAAATCATCAAAAGAACTTTTATTGCAAAATTTCCTCTGACATTTTCATCCGAAACCTCTTTTTCCCAACATAACACAATAATTAACATAATTAAACCTAAAAGAACAAATCCTGTCTCATTGATCATCTCCGTATCTGTTTGAATCATTAGCTTTTGATGTTGAATAAAAAAATAATCATCTCCTCTCCTTCCTCAGAGAATTTACACATCAGAGAGCCTGTCCTGCCCCATATGCCTGTGTTCCCCAATAACCAGATTTTTTAATTCCTGTCAATCGTTTATTTAGTTTGAGAACAAATGGTTTTGGATAAAAATGTCAGAAGAATTTTTTCTAGTTAAAGAAATTTCTAATAGAAAACATCTCCTGTTTACCCCTCAATTTGACAATTTAACAATAATAAACTGAACATTGATCAAAACTTCTAACAGAATTTATTAAATTTTCCAACACAAGTCTAGTGATTATTTTGTTTAAAAATCCATTAAATGGCTTTTCTTATCATAAATTTTCTCAGCTACACAAAATTTCCTCGCATTTTCATCAAAAAGTTCTTCTTCCCAAGATAATAACACAATAATTAACGTAATGAATCAACCCAAAAGAAGAAATCATTTTTCATTGATCGTCTCCATAGCAGAACGATCACTAGCTTTTTCTGCTGAATAAAAAAGTTATCATCTCCTCCCCTTCCCCAGAAAATCTACACATCAGAGAGCCTGTCCTGCCCCATCTGCCTGTGTCCCCCAGTGGCCGGAAAGATGACCCGCTGTGGTCACGTCTACTGCTGGCCCTGCATCCTCCACTATCTCTCCCTCTCCGACAAACACTGGCGGAAGTGTCCGATCTGCTACGAGTCCATCCACAAGTCCGACCTCAAGAGTGTCACCGAAGTCACCCAGCAGCCCCTGAACATTGGTGACACCGTCAAGCTCCGTCTGATGCGTCGCAAGAGAGGCTCCCTCCTAGCTGTACCTGTTGAGGAATCCAACACTCCAGACCCAGACAACTTCTTCACTATTTTTGATCAGAAGGATCGGACCAACCAGGTCTACTCGAAACTACTGAGGGCTGATGTTCGTGATGTCGTTGGGATCATTGATAGCGAGAGGAATCAACTCAAATTCGAGCAGATGGTGGACCCGCATTCGCCGGAGAATTGTTTCATAGAGCAGGCTCTTGCTGAGTTGTCTGATAGGGAGGAGAGGATTCTCAAGGGGGTTGGGAAGGACGAGGGGACGATTCCAGGGGATAATGGTGATAATGACGTGGAGGGGGAGAACCAAGGGGTTGTGGAGGGCAGTTGTGAGGTGAAGGGGAAAGAGGAGAGGAAGAATGACGATGAAGGGCGGACCCCAGGACAGCAGAACTTGCCGAAATTTTTTTATTTTTATCAAGGTGAGTTGAGGGATTCATGAGTTTGGGCTTTTTCATGTTTTGGTGGATGTGGGATTATTTTGAGGGGCGATTTTGTTCGCCCAAACAAGACTTGTTTGACAACGTGTTTGTTTTTCTCTCAGTGTATACACACACACACACACACACATACAGACCGGTTTCTAAAAAGTATCGCGAGAGGTTCTAGGGGTCATGAAACGTGGAGCAACCATGAAATTTCCACAATCGATTTTTGGGATCATTACAATAACTTCCTCACTTTGGGTTGGGAAGTTGAAAATTTCAAGTTTTCGTTTTTCCCTGGTGCTTCTTCTTCCCTAATAATTCTCCACTCATTGCAATTCACAGCTGAAGATGGTCAGCACGTCTACCTCCACGCGATGAACGTGAAGATGCTGGAGGTGCAGTACGGCGACCTCGAGCACTCCCCCCGAACCCTCACTGGTAAAATCCTCGAGAAAGAGAGTGGAAGCTTTACCGAGGATCTCCGCAAGCGAATGCGATACCTCTGTCATCTACCCCTCACCTGTTCCTTCGAGATCGCTGAGATCGAGTTGACGACACCTCTGGTGTCCCCTGATGTTCTTGATTACTTCAAGGAGCAGTTGGATGCCCGGGAGAGACGAAGACGTCGTCGTGAACGTGACGAGAAGAAACGAGAGAAGAAGATCACTGCTGAGGAGAACAAGAAACTGGGGAGATATCCCACGCCCAAAGTGCATATCGAGTCCCACAGGCATTTCCCGGGGTGGCAGACTGAATTACCATCTTCCAGGTATTGTTAATTTCATTATTGAAATGTTAAGGGGATGTGGAAAAACTAATTCATTGCTGTTTCAAGATTTTCGGGGAATTGATGCTTCGTGAATTATAAATTATCTCGATAGTGGGGCATTTTAGGAAGAATTGTCATAAATCATTTTTTGTAGATGAGGAAATTATCTACAAAAAGTGTCTAGTGAATTTTTTAGTTAAATTTGTTTGTTATGAAGATAATTTAACAATTAAAACTACGGGAAATCGGCTGCATTACAAAATCGAGATTTTGAGGAAATTCATGTTTCTTAAATTCTAAATTATCTCCGTAACGAGCCATCTTAGAAAGAAATGCCATTAAACCTTTCTTGTAGCTGAGAAAGTTCTCCACAAAAAATATCTTCTGCATGTTTTTCCTACAATTAGAACAGAGCTCGTGCTTCGCGTGCGTATTGTTTTTCATGGGTGCTAGAATAGTAAAATCTTACCATTTCTCAATTCCATTAATTTTTATCTCAATAATAATTCAGAAAAAATGAATGGTTTCAACGAAGTTTTTCACAAGAGAATTGAATTGTTGAATGATTTATTCGGAATCGTCATAATTCTCTTCATTTTCTTCTTCGTTTCTCTTTTGCTTTTTGCGTTCTTTTTTATTTTTAAGGATGTATTATGTACTATATACATAGACACCATATTACATTACTTGATAAGCGGAGTAGAGGCTTCAAAAATCGTTACACTGGATTCTTTAAAAGTGAACCACTCATCACCAAGATGATAAAAAATACAAAAACATGAATAATTAAGAAAACAAAAATTGTTTTACTGTTGCAGTGCCGCAATTTCAACACCTCCAGAATCAATCCCATCATCAAGCCTCGCGAGTAGTCCCTCACACAGCACCCTGGGTGACTCAACTGCCCTCTTGACCGATTCCATGTGGTCGTTGCCCTCCCAGAACGACCAAGGACCTTCCTTCGCCCAAATGCTTCGTAACGAAAATTCAAAAATGTCTGATTCAAAAGTCTGGCCTTCGATGAACCCATCCCTTCCATCAAGCAAATCCAATAATGTCGTTGCACCCCAGAATGAGGAAGATTATCCTCAGGCACCGAGTCACAGCCAGAGTTTCGGTGATGTACTTGCTCTTGCCCTTGAGGCATCAACCATCCATGAGGACCCAATCCCCAGGGGAAAAGCCAAGAAGAATAAGAAAAGGGGAAAGGCTACTCTTCTTTATGCAAGTGGAATGGCGAGATCTTCATAAGTAAATAGTTATTTATCTGCCAGAGTGGAGAAAATTTATTTCAGAAAAATAGTAGTGAGGGAAACAGGATGCGATCATTTTGCTCTGTGATGAATTTTGGGTTAATATTTCTCATGGGTTTTAAGATATTTGGGGAAAAAAATCTTGAAGGGAAACGATAAAAGAGAGAAGAATATTGTAGAAAAAAATCAGATGAACTAGACAAATACATAATTTTTGTAGAAAAAAATTAGATGAACTAGACAAATTTTTATGGGTTTTTTTTCAGCTTCCTTTGGATTGAAAATATTTATCAAAAACTCGTCATGAAATTAAATTAGAAGAAATCCAGGAAATTTCAGAAATTGATATTTTGGAATTTATGGAACATGTCGAAATTTTTGCCACAAAAATTGGATTTTTGTTGTAATCTTTTTTTATTCTATAAAAAAATCTTCAGGAAGTGACAACACTATTGGAAAATTATGAAAAAATTGTCATTTTGCAAAAAAAATGAGATATATCTCTTTTTTTTCTGTTATATTTCATTTTTTAAACAGGTTCTTATGGACACTTTCCTGTCTCCATTAGATTAACATATTTAGGAATAACTTAGCATGAAATTAAATTAGAAAAAAAAACCAGAGAATTTCAGGAATAGATATCTTGGAATCTATGAGAGATGACGATTTTTTTACCACAATAATTTGGTTTTTCTTGCAGATCTCTTAGGCAATTTATAAAAACCATTTGAGATGATTTATAAAAACTGATCAATTTTGCTATTCATCTAAATATCCATAAATCTCCATTTGGGATGGAGGGAAAATGTAAAGAAATATCATAAAATGTTCGTTACTTTGTCATAGTTGCAACTGTGAAAACTAATTATATTCGAAACGAAATTATGGAAATTTTCAGACTGGATTTAAAGTGTATTATTTTTTTAAGGAGGAAACCTCTCAATTTCCCCGCAAAGCCAATCTCAATGAATTGTTTGCATTTGAATATTTTTTTCTAAATTAAATCCACCTGTTCTGAAGTGAAATCAACCCATCCTGTTTCATCGCTTGACACCTAAATCGTTTTAAGATTATTATTTTGATTATTTGTTATTATTAGAGGAACCATTGGCGACAGGAAATATTCTTGATTCCAGTTTTGTGTAATCATCAAGAATAAAAATAGAAGTGACTAAACCACGTTGTGTTATCATGAAACCGAATGTAATTCTATTGTTGATGAAGACCTTCTTGAAATAAATGAATAGAAACATCTAATATATTGAATTTTCAACCTTTATCAATTCTAATTGTTTCCTTCCCCATTTGTATCTTCTAAATTGACTAAAAAGTAATTGTGAAAATCCACTTTCAAAATTAACAAACTTGAATTTCACAAAAATTTACTGAATTCAGTAATAAGCTTAATTTGTTTGTTTTATTAATTGTTGAATTATCTCGTTGATTACTGGATTTAAAAAAATTGACATTTTCTGCTCAATCCCCTCTTTATGAAGATAGTTTCAATTGTAATCAACTCGAGAGTTCCTAAAAATCTTGAAATTACCGAAAAATTTCTCTCTCGCCACCAAACAACCCCATAAAGATATAAAAAATAAGTAAAAAACAGAATATATAGGATTTGGAACAGAACCGCTTTATTTACATAGAAAAAAAATCACATCTCTATTACAATATCTCCAGAATTGAATGTTGCTCAATAAATTATTAAAGTTACGCCATAATCTGCATAATAAAAAAAAGTTTACAGTCCTAGCACGTGAGAAAAGTTACTCAAAGCGATATCCTCATTTTCTATGTCCTTCTGTTCCTCCCAAGTCTCACCCAAATTTTCGAGTTGTGAATACGAAAATGCTCAAAAATCGAAAAGACCCTCCTCCCCTGGTCGTCCCCCAATTTAATCAACCTCCTCGATGGTGGGTCCAGAGGCTCCACCTCCTGGAGCAGCTCCAGGTGCACCACCAGCTCCTGGCATGCCTCCAGGCATTCCCCCAGGCATGCCCCCAGCTCCCTGATACAGCTTGGTGACAATGGGATTGCAGATGGACTCGAGCTCCTTCTGCTTGTGCTCGTACTCCTCCTTCTCAGCAAGCTGATTGGCATCGAGCCACTTGATGATCTCATTACACTTGTCAAGCACAACCTGCTTGTCACTGGCGGAGATCTTGTCCTTGAGCTTGTCATCCTCAACAGTGCTCTTCATGTTGAAGCAGTACGACTCGAGTCCATTCTTAGCTGAGATGGTCTCCTTCTGCTTCTCATCCTCACTCCTGTACTTCTCAGCCTCATTCACCATCCTCTCGATGTCCTCCTTGCTGAGACGTCCCTTGTCATTGGTAATAGTGATCTTGTTCTCCTTACCAGTGGATTTATCAACAGCAGAGACATTCAGAATGCCATTAGCATCGATATCAAAGGTGACCTCGATCTGGGGGACGCCACGAGGAGCTGGTGGGATCCCAGAGAGCTCAAACTTGCCCAGAAGATTATTATCCTTCGTCATGGCTCGTTCTCCCTCATAAACCTGGATCAGCACACCAGGCTGGTTATCAGCATAAGTGGTGAACGTCTGGGTCTGCTTAGTAGGAATTGTGGTATTCCTCTTGATGAGAGCAGTCATCACACCTCCAGCAGTCTCAATACCAAGTGACAGTGGAGTCACATCGAGCAGAAGCAGATCCTGCACAGCCTCAGACTTGTCTCCATGAAGAATAGCTGCTTGGACAGCAGCTCCGTAGGCAACAGCCTCATCAGGATTGATCGACTTGTTCAATTCCTTTCCATTGAAGAAGTCCTGCAGGAGCTTCTGGATCTTGGGGATACGGGTGGAGCCTCCCACGAGGACAATGTCGTTGATCTGTGCCTTGTCCATCTTGGCGTCACGAATGGACTTCTCCACTGGCTCCAGGGTGCCTCTGAAGAGGTCTGCGCACAGCTCCTCGAATCTAGCACGAGTGATCGAGGTGTAGAAGTCCGTTCCCTCGTACAGAGAATCAATCTCGATGTTCGCTTGGGTCGAGGAGGAGAGGGTTCTCTTCGCACGCTCGCAGGCTGTCCTCAGACGACGAAGGGCCCTCTTGTTGCTGGTGAGCTCCTTCTTGTATTTTCGCTTGAACTCCTGGACAAAGTGGTTCACCATTCTGTTGTCGAAGTCCTCTCCTCCCAAGTGGGTGTCACCAGCTGTTGATTTCACCTCGAAGATACCCTCCTCAATGGTCAGGATGGAGACGTCGAAGGTACCGCCACCCAGGTCGAAGATCAGGACGTTGCGCTCACCTATGGTCTTCTTGTCGAGACCGTAGGCGATGGCTGCTGCTGTTGGCTCGTTTATTATTCGGAGCACATTCAGACCGGAGATGGTGCCAGCGTCCTTCGTTGCCTGACGCTGCGAGTCGTTGAAGTACGCTGGGACTGTTATCACAGCGTTGGTGACGGTTTGACCGAGGTAAGCCTCGGCTGTCTCCTTCATCTTAACGAGGACCATTGAGGAGACTTCTTCGGGGTAGAAGGTCTTCGTCTCGCCTTTGTATTGGACCTGGATCTTCGGCTTGGTGTTGTCGTTTATCACTGTGAATGGCCAGTGCTTCATGTCTGCTTGCACTGTTGCGTCGTCGAAACGACGACCGATCAGTCTCTTTGCGTCTGAAATTACATCATTTTTGGAGTTAATTTTCATTTCTCATGCCTCCCCATAATGAAAACATAGACGTATCCACATCAAAAACAAATTAGAGTGAACAGGCCAATTGCTGAAGGGTGAAGGGACATTCGAATTTCGTGGTAGGATCTAAAATAAAAGAATCACTTAAACAGGGATATGATGGCTTCCCCGCCGTCAAATATATTTTAATTCGCAAAAAAATTATTTGAAGTGAAAATAACAAAACAAAGAATAATGAAATTAAGAAAAAGTTGAAGGCAGCCAAAATCCCTAATCTCTGGAAGGCTGGGCTATTTTTACAATTTTTTTAAATGTCGATCGATAGAAAAAATAATTGATCAGATGATTACACACGAGTAATATTATTGAAAGGTGAAATAATCAGTACAATTTTCATTTTATTTTCTGAAATATTCAATGCAACTTGGAAATCGTCCAGAAATTGCCCTGTTTACCCCATTTCAATTCGACCAAAATCATTAACTTCAGGGACTCCAGGGGGCATGAGATTTCTCCCCGAAAACCCCCACCACCGAAAAAATTCAATCCCCAAAAATCCATTATTTTAATCTTCAAAAATTAAAGATTGACAAAAATGCGAGCTTCAAAAATAAATCCTCAAAAAAAACAGAAAATCCATTATTTTCATTTTAAAAAATTAAAGATTGACTTTTCATCGACGGTGGAAGCCCCCACCCCCCAAAAAAAAGTAAAAAAATCGATGTCCAAAGAATTCCCAAAACTCAAAGTAATTAATCACCACGAAAGAAAAAAATGATTCCACCTCAACCGAAATAACGAAATGGAAGGCATCATCCAGCTCGCCTTGACTCCCCACAATTTCCGAAACCGACAAAACCTTCAATTCAAAATGGAGGACTCACCGAAAATGGTGTTGTTGGGATTCATGGCGACCTGGTTTTTCGCAGCATCACCAATAAGTCGTTCAGTGTCAGTGAATGCGACATAGCTAGGAGTTGTCCTGTTTCCCTGATCATTAGCGATGATCTCGACTTTTCCATGTTGAAAAACTCCGACACAGGAGTAAGTTGTTCCAAGATCGATACCAACAGCGGGTGCTTTCGACATTTTGTCTAGTTTTCTTTTCCTGAAATCCCAAATAACCGATATTAACCCCAATCCGCAGACTCTTCGTCGAAATGAGGGACAAACAACGATGTTAATGAACAATTGAATGACTAGAATGACTAATTGAATTACCTTTGGATCTAATAAAGGAGACGGAGTCTCTAATACTTGGGCGTGAGTTGTTACTCGTTCAACGATTCGCAACGTGAGTGACGAACAATTGCCGCCTCACCCGAATATATCGCCCAGATCTCGACGCTTCTGGAATGTTCCGAAACGAGTGGAACGTTCTCAGCCAACGGGAGAGCCGCTTCGATCCCTCCCTCTCGCCCATTGGTCGCTCTTGCCCCACAACTGGAATCATTTCTTATCCCAAAACCCTTTTTTTCTCTTCAGTTTTGCTCGCAAATGGATTAAAAATTCTGGTTCACTGATTTTTCATTTTATTTGAGGAGTTTCGGGGGTCGCGGGTGGAGCTGGGGTTTCGGGGGGTTGAGGTGATTTTATTGAACTTCCGCTGGAGGGAATAATGCGTCACTATGCGGGAATCGGAAGTGACTAGTGTGGAGCGCATGGAGAGATGTTTTATTCTAGATTGAACTAGAAGCGGAATTATGAGGGCTTGGGTTTGCGCTGATTTTAGAGGTGTTAGGCAGGTTGATGACCGCGGCGAGGGGGTGGTGGGTGTACTTAGTGTTATGGGGATTTCGGGATTTATTTGGGATGCATTCAGTTTTTTGAATTTTTGGAATTTATGGGGGAATTGGTTTTAATTTGAGGCTTGGAGCGTGGAATATTTGGGTTCAGTGTCGAATATCTTTGGATTGGACGACGTGATTTTGATGGGTCAGGTCTTGTTTTGGAGGGGATGGAGATAGGATTGAAATGAGCTTTGATTTTTTCAATTTCACTCTACCAATTTTGAGATATTGACGGTAGAACATCGGTAGTTTGGGCAGCGTTTTCAAATAGGGGGCTTTTAGGTGAGATGATAGTTTTTGGGGAGTATCTTGGAATCTAATGGAGATAGCGAAATTTTTGTGAGGAACTTTTTCGTAGAGAAGATTGGGTTCTACAAAAAAAGTTCTATGAAGATTTTTGCTGTCTATGTTGGATTGGGAGATATTTAGCAAAAACTTTCCCTGGAGTTGGAGTCCATTTTTTCCAATTGATTTTTCTTGGACTTCAGTTTTTTGGAAATATCTAGGAATTGAAGAGAGATAGTGAAGATCTTCAAAGGACATTTTTTGTAAAGCATAATCAGAGCTGCAAAAAAGGTCCTGATGAAAATCTTTCCATGTCCCCTGGATTCGGAGATATTTACCAAAAATTAAACTCAAGGTGACAGAATGAATTTTTATTCAGCATTCAGTTTTTGCTGAATATCTTGGAATTGAAGGGAGATATTGAAAATCTTCATAAAACCTTTTCTGTGGAGCAGAACCCGACTCACAAAAATTGTCTTATCAAGATTTTCTCTATCTCCTTTGGATTCCGAGATATTCAACGATTTCTGCCGTCTCTTCCCCACCCGCTAATTTTTTTAAATTTCAGACACGTGATAATTGATATCCATTGATGATTCGTGCGATTCCATGGACCACGTGGGCTGAGTCATCATCAGTGAAACATTATCGAGCAGTGGAAATCAAGGCTCTCCTCAATGCTGTCTCATTCTCTTCTTTTTCTCTCCAATCCAATTATGGGAATATCTCCATTTGTAAATATTCGTTCCGTTGACCTTTGCAGAGTAGCAACGAGAATAAAACACGTCAATGTCAACCTTCCTCAAATATTTTTCTTTCATAACTACGTAGGAAGATTTTTAGCGAGTTATTTCTATAATTTAGATGAACTGCATTGAACTCTGGTAATTTTCAACAGAAAAAAATTGATAGTCAAGAATATCTCGAGGTTTTTCATCGGTAAATTCATGGTTCGGATCTCGTGAATATTCTGACGTGTTTATATTTCACTCTCCGCGCACAAAAAAGTTCAATTGGAATACCTAGAGAATTCGCTAGACGGTTTTATTGAAGTTTTTATTAGTTTTTGGCCGATTCTGTTGAAATGTTCAATAGAAAATATTCTATAGAAAAAGTCAATAGAATTCGCTTTTTCCATTCAACATGTTCTGTAGAATATTTATCAATTTCTATAGAAAATATTTAGAAAATAGAACAATTTCAACTCAATTTTTTTAGATATCTTCTATAGAATTTCCTTGGCTCAAATTTTCCAAGTTTTTGTTGAATTTTCTCAATGAAAATAAAAGAAAGAATGAAAAAACTTGGGAAATTTGAGCCGAGAGAATTCTATAGAATTCTGTCAACTATCGCAATAGAATAAGATGTATAGCAAAATACAATTCTATTGACATTTTCTATGGAATAATTACTATTGAACATTTCAATAGAATCGACCAAAAACTAATCAAAAGTTCATTAGAAATCCAATAGAATTGTCTAGCGAATTCGCTAGGTTTTTCTATAACATTTTTTCGTACGTGCATGTCTTGCATTTTGAGTCATATTCGTTAATTTCAAAATTTTATCTAAAACTGTAGGGAAGCGTGGGGCAAAGTGGAACGGAATCGAATTTCGCTGTTTCAGGGTTAAGCAGGGTTGAGGGTCAAATGGGAGCGACAGGGGGAGGGGTCAAACGGGTCAAACGGGAGGGCGAAGTGATCACTCCAGTCGTCCCTCCCATCAGACCCTTTTAATTACTCTGCTTGTCTCTCCCGTTTGACCCTTAAGAAAATTTGACTCGTCACCCGTCTCTCCCGTTTGACCCTTAAGAAAATTTGACTCGTCACCCGTCTCTCCCGTTTGACCCTCTAGACTGTTTAATCCTAAAAAAAATTTGACCCTTCATGCTGAGGCTTTTACTATTAAAAAAAAATATTAAAATTGATTAATCCGATTTATAATGTACCGAATAATACTCATGCGTCGGTTGCATCAAGTGACGGGAGGGGGGGGGGAATAAGGAGAAGACGTAATTGTCAGAAATAGCAGTGGCATGCTATATATTGAAGTTGACGTCACACATAGATTATATTCCTCGGTACGTCAATTCCGTGTAGATCCAGAGGCTATTTGTTTTTGCAACTGCCATTATATAAACATATGGTACTCGACACGTAGATGAGTACCTGAAATCTGAAATAACACGGATGAAAAAATTTAGTAGAAAAACCTAGCGAATTCGTTAGGAAATTCTATTGGATTTTTATTGAACTTTCTATTAATTTTTGGCCGATTCTATTGAAATGTTTAATAGAAAATATTCAATAGAAAACGTCAATAGAATTAGATTTTTCTATATAACTTAATCTATTGAGGTATTTGCTATAGAATTTCATTCGCTCAAATTTACCAAGTTTTTTTATTTAATTTTCTTGGTGAGAAGAAATGAAAAATAGAATGAAAAAAAATTAGAATATTGGAGCCGAGGAAATTCTGTAGAAAATGTCTGAGACGAATGAGTTATATACAAATCGTGAATTCTATTGAATATTTTCTATTGAACATTTCAATAGTATTATCTAAATACTAACAGAAAGTTCAATAGAAATCCAATAGAATTTTCTAACCAATTCGCTAGGTTTTTCTAGTAAATTTTGTCGTGCGTGAAATGTTATTGCGTTTTCCTATAAAATAACCATTAAAAAATCCCAAAGTTGCATAATTCTTAATAAAAATCGGCGCAAAAAAATTGAATTTCAATAGAATTCTAATGAGACTCCCACAGAATTCTGCTGGGTAGCTTTCTCAGAGAAACCCGTCTCAGAGAAAACGTTTTTCTGTTAATTTTTTCATAGAAAATATGTATACACTATTTAATACAATATGTAATACACTACTTTCAAGGTGTATTCGCAACAATGAAATCATTTGACTTAAAATTTTTCCATCGATTCGTTCCTCCGTGAAGTGCTTCTGCAGATCGTTAGTGCGAAGGTCATGTGCGAAAAGAGTAGGGATGACAAAAAATCGTTATTATTTATGAAGAAAGAAACTGTCGCATCCATTGTGAGTTCTCATAATTTCAAAAGATTCGATTTCTGAGTGGATTTTTTTTATTGTCAAATATCTCTCAGTTTTTCCTCTGCACGTTTGAAAAAATTCAATGGAAAACCTACTGAATTCGCTAAAAAATTCTATTGGAATTCTACAGCAATTCTATGGGATTTCTATATAATTTCTATCGGAATTCTCTTGAACAATTCTATTTGTTTTTTGCGCAGATGCTATTAGATATTCGATAAAAAAAAGTCAATAGATTTCGAATTTCTGTTCAAATTTTTCTCCTGAGACCTTTTTTATTAAAATTATTGGGCACAAATTTTCTAAGTTTTTTTTCCGCTGGATTTTGTTTTGTTTTGTATTACAGAATCCGAGTCACAAAATGTTCAATGGGTCTGAAGGCCCAGTGAAGACTTTTAAGTTTCACCGATGTATCCCCTTAAATAAATAAATGGAAGTCTGTTAAAAATCTCATCATCTCAGAAATTACTGGACTCACCAAAAAAAAGTCCAGTTTTTTTTCCACCTGAAAAAATTCTCTACAAAACATTGAAATCTGATTAATTACAGCGAATTATCTCAATAACGAGTGAATTTAGACGAAAATGAGAAGAAATAATCGATGGAAAAATGTTGAATTGTACTCTAAAAACGTCTTTTGATATTTTCTCTCACATTTTCTCCGCATTCTGAGGTAATTATGAAAAATTTGACCCCAAGCGTAAATTATATTTTTTCTGCCAACTTTTGAATTCCCATTGCGCCATCTAGAGAGCCCCCCAAAAATCACGTCCTAGGTTAGGTTTGACGGGAACACATGTCTGAAAGCTCGTCGACAATAAACAATCCGTGAGAACCCCCGAAATCCCCTCATTATGTTGTTATATTAACAGTTAAACAATTGAATTCATCAAAATGCAAGTGAAGAACTCGAGATACTCCACCAATAAGTCGAAATCCAAGAAGAAGGAACGAGATGAGGATCATTTGGTCGTCAAAAGAAAAGGTGGTGGAAGTATCATAGATCATCGTCCCCTGTTTTCCAGCAATGGAGAGTGAGTACCATAGAATAATCCCCTAATTCAGTACTTCAACGATAAAAATGCAAGAATTTCTCCAAATTACGAGTTCAATTTTTGCCGAGTATCTTCGAATCTGAGGTAGATAGGGAACTTTTCATTTGGACCTTTTTTGTAGCTCTGATTTCGCTCTACAAAAAAGGTATCAACGAAAATTTTTCTATGTCCCTTGCATTTTGAGATGTATAACAAAAAGTAAAATCAACTCCAAATCGATTTAAGGAAGCATCAGTTGAAATGATTCTTCTAAAGTCCTCGATGTCTCCCAAGAAAATGATACGATTAGGATGAGTCACATCTCATTTTAAGGGTCGAAATGATACCTTCAAAATGAATAAAAAATCAGTGAATTTCACTCTGCCGATTTCAAGTTATTGACGATTAAAAAATGCCCATTTTACCTCAATCTAATTTTGGAGTAGCAAATTAACTATTTTCAATCTTTAATAACTCAGTATCTACAGAGTGAAATTCAAAACATCTTCTTTCGTTTTCAAGATATTTTCTCAAGCTTCAAAATGGCACGTGACACCTCCCAATCGCATCATTTGTTCCGGAGATATTGAAAACTCCAGAAAGCTCATTCCATCTCTCCTCGTCCTAAACAATTTCCTCCTGAATCCCACCAAGAATAACCCCAAAAACAAATGCTCATCTTCGCAAAATCCTCTTCAGGATCCTCTACGTGGTATGGAAGCAGGTGATCCGTAAATACAGCACGCAGACAGGCGACTTCGTCGGGGAGTTTGAGCCAGCAGACGTGAAACTAGCCGGAATTTCCTTCTACTCCGACAACTTCAACACAATCGTGGGATGCACCGAGTCCGGAGACTTGATCAACTGGAACTCCCAGAACGGAGTGATCACCCGAAAGCTGAAGCTCAAGACCCAGGAGGACGTCAAGATCTCGACGTTCCACATTGTCAACTACAGGTCGAAGAATGGGAGGAACATCTGCCAGGCGTTGCTCACGTACCCCAGCAAGAGCTCGAGCTCCATCGATCTGGTCCTCTTCGACGTGGAGACTGGAAACTGCACGAGTTCTAGGTCCATCGCCTCTGTGGCTGGTACTGCCTACTGCGTGGACATCGTTGGAAATTATGGGGATAATCTGGTGGCTCTGGCTCAGGATGTTGATCTCCATATCTTGCAGCCTACTGCTGGTCTCACTGGGAAGCTGCATAAAATTGGATTGACTGGGAGAAAGCTCACCTGCATCACAGGTACGTAATAAGGCCTGAGTGACTGATTTCAGGTTTTTCAGTCAAGAGTTTTTATTTATTGAGAAGTATCCAAATGCTAGGAAGAATGATCATTTAGGATCATTCCGGAAGGTTTTTTGTTCTTAATTGAGGGTAAAATCATCTTGAAGGTTGAGAGATGAAGTGTGAGGATGTTTAAGGGTAAGGGTCAAATCATTTGACCCTCAACCCTGAAGGTTTTAAGGGTTGTTTCAGCCTCAAGGATGTTTTGGCCATAGATCGGCATCAATCATTACTTTAGTAATATTATGAGAAGTTGCACCTGAGAGTGATTTAGATTTATTTATCGTAATTGAAATTTGAAAAATAATATCACGATTGGTAATTTAATTTCTTAATTATTGGTTGATGAAATAATTCGGAACATGAAAATTTTAATTGAGGATTATTCTTAAAATCAGTAAATTGGTGAGTAATATTAACAATTCACTTATTCCAAATTTAACTGTAATTCAATGTCTGCTTTTGACCCTCAAAACCATTCGACCCTTAACACGTTCCTAACGATATTTGACACTCAAGACTTTTTGACCTTTAATTCGAAACGCTCTTAAGGGTCGTTTGACCCTTAAAATAATTGAATCTTCAAGTCCGAACATCCTCAAGGTCTCTCAGACTCCTTTAACCCTCAAGACTATTTTGACCCCCAACTTCAAATATTCTCAAGGTCCACCAGAGTTGTTTAACCCTTAAGACTATTTGACCCTCAACTGTAAACGTTCTCAAGGTCCTTAAGAGTTGTTTAACACTCATGATTATCTGACCCTCGAATAGTTGAAATCAACGTTCACCAGGCTAAAAAATTCGATTTTGGCGAAAAATCCAAGATCTGACACTTTGACCCTTGTGACCCTTGGACCTAGTTTCCCCTNATCAACGTTCACCAGGCTAAAAAATTCGATTTTGGCGAAAGTCGACTTTCCCCCTGGAAAAACGGAAAAACTGACCCTTTGATAATCTAAAAAAAAACTTTCTCAGTTTTCACTTTTTCCACATACTTTTGATAGTTCTGAATAGCCCGTCGCTTAAATAGTTGGAATCAACGTTCACCCGGCTAAAAAAATTGATTTCCGAGATTCCCAAGATTCCCGAAATTCGAACCCCGAGAACTACTTGACCCTCAACCCCGAAAATCCTCAGGTCGTCTACCCTAAACTTAAACAAAATTCAAGAAAAAATCTCGCGTCGTCCAGCCGGGATTCGAGCCCCGGTTGAATAATCTCTGGAAACTAAAAGTTTCATCAGATTATTATTATGTAATAATAATACCCCCCAGGTCACCCCGAGGATGAGTGCGTAGCAGTGGGCGACTCAAGTGGTCGCGTCCTAGTCTACAAGAACCTCTTCCACTCACGCCCGATAACCGGCACCTACCACTGGCACACCCTTCCGGTAACCGAAATAGCCTTCAGCAAATCCGGGGGCCACATGTACACCGGTGGCTCCGAGTGCGTTCTCGTCAAGTGGACCCTTGCCAATCCCCTCCACAAGTCCTTCCTCCCGCGTCTCCCCGCGCCCATAAAACACCTGACAATAGCCCCCGAGAACATTTACGTTGCCGTATCCACCCTCGACAACGGAATCGTGGTCGTCAATCCCCAGAAGAAGCTCACCTCTTGCATCCAAAACTTCACCTGGGGAGTGACAGCGTCCACGAAGGACCTCTTCCCGGCGGGTCTCACACTCGACCCAAGAACCGGAAGTCTCGTATTGAACAGCCGAACTGGACACGTTCAGTTCTTCGACACCCACCGCAAGTCCCTTCTCTTCAACATCAACATAACAGCCCAGAACTTCCTCACCCAGGAGAGATCGGCGGTAATAATCAACACGGAAGTCACCAGGATCGCCATCAACCAAGATGGCGGCTGGATGGCAACAGTTGAGGAGCGCGACGACCGGGTCTCGACCCCGGAAGTCAGGCTGAAGTTCTGGAAGTTTGACGCTGAGAGGCAAAACTTCGTCCTGAACACCTCTGTCGAGCTGCCCCACGACCTGGGGGTCAATGCCCTGAGCTTTCAGCCCGACGCCAGTCTAGATGGGGGGAGGATCGCTGCTGTGACCACTGGGAAGGACCGGAAGTTGAAGATGTGGAGTCTCGTGGAGGGTAATTCAGTGGTCAGGAGGGGGAAGCACTGGGTTTGCTCAGGGGTGGAGAGTTATCGGGACCTTTTGGCGACTGATGTTGGTTTCTCGGTTGATGGATCGCTCCTGGGGGTGGGGTTTGGATCGAGTCTGACTGTCTGGGCGCCGGAAACGATGGGGTTGAAGTGCTCTTTGACCCACAGGAGGTATCCCCAGGTGGTCAAGAGGGTTGAGTTCGGGAAGAATGAGAGCTGTCATCTGGTGGTGGTGGGGTCTGATGAGCACATTGGGGTCTGGAACCTCTTGACCCTGAGTCTCGCGTGGTCTGTCGGGCTGAAACTAGTGGCTCTTGTGGCCGATCCTTGCTCCAACTTCATGGCAGCGTTCTCGGGGGATAATTCGTTGTTTGTGTTCAATCCCCAGGTGTCGACGCCTGTTTATGTTAGGCGGGGACTCTTGGAGGGGGACTCGGGGGTCTTGGGGGCTTGTTTTGTGCCGAATGTCAAGGAGAAGAGGGGAAAGGGGTTTTGCGATTGGCAGAGGAGGAGCCAGCTGTTTTTTATTGATGATAATCAGGAGCTGCTGACGCTGGAGGACGAGAGGGAGGGCGCGGTGCTTATGGAGAGCTTGGGGGTCGGGCTCAACTGGCCTAGTACTGCTTTTGGACAGCTCATTGCTGAGGAGAGGAGCAGCGCCGTGGACAGGGGGAGCTTTGTCCATGAACAGCTGGGGGGCGGAAAGGGAGTTGTTGAAGAGGTGAGTGAAGATTTTTTTTTTTTGTATTACCCAAACGATATTGTCTCGGTCCACCTTGGATGTTATTGGGGGGACCCGTTGGTGAAATTTGGAAGACTTCAGTGGGCCTTGGGACCCATTGAACAAAGCAGCGATCAGTCGACAATCATTACATTTGTAATATTTTGTAGTAGTGGCTGTAGTGGTCAAAAAATATAAACTGCCATGAAACTCAGGGGCCAGTAAGAAAAATCATTCTTTGGCAGCGCACACTGACTTTTCAGTATTCGCCTGCGAAGTAAAAATTCACCTCTCCCCTCCTAATTGAGATTAAGGGATGAAAAAAGGGCAATTCGACGGAGAATTAAATTCCCCATCAATTAACCCTCTTTCATCCCTTAATTTCTGTAACAAAAAAATATAAACTGCCATGAAACTCAGGGGCCAGTAAGAAAAATAATTCTTTCGCGGCGCCACGAAAGAATTATTTTTCCCAAGTCCTAGCCCGAATGGGGTACAGTTAAGAGTAAGACGGCCCATGGTAACGCAGAAAAAATCAGAAGAGAGAAGTGGGAGAGGCAAGGCAGACGAATGGGGAGCCTATAAAACCGTAATGGTAGTAGGAAAGAAATATGAATAAAAAAAAAATATTTTGTAGTATTATTGGAATTTGCACCTTTCTATTACTATAACTTTATTATCTTACTTGAAATTTGAAAATATGAAAATAATTCATGATTTAAATTTTATATTGACTACTGAGTAAATAATTGTCAATTTCACAGAAGGATTTTTCAATTAGACATGTAATGGTCAAACTTCTTACTTCGGAATTTGAATATTCGATTGATGATTAATTTGGTATTTGAAAATTGTTGGGTAATGTTTTCAGTTGAGGCCCGGATGGAGGTTCCAGCACCCCCTTTATCCCTCCCCCTGCTCTTTCCAATCGTCTATATATGGTGATAATGACGGATGAATAGCCGCACTTGTTGTTATTTATTTCACGCACAAGAGAATTAAAAAATCTCGGGTAAACAAAATAAAGCTACAATTCTACATTATTATTCTATTTTTTAATTGCACTTTCGTTATGATCTGATGAGAATTAGCTAAATAGGAAGCTGGCGGTCAACTGTTTGTTCTCGCGCCGGGAAGCAGATAGCTTTTTCAGATTTGAGCGTCCTCATCATGTACGGCGACAGTATCTGAAAGAATTATCTATCTCCCAGTGCAGCGACCAAATAGTCGACCGCCAGATCGTTCTGACCTTCATATTTCGCCAGTTCTCATCAGATCATAACGAAAGTGCAATTAAAAAATAGAATAATAAGGGAGAATTGTCGCTTGACTTCGTTTCCCAGGATTTATTCATTCTTTTGTGTATGGAATGAATAACAATAAGTGCAGGCATTCATCCACCATCATCCGCCGTATCTAGATGATTGAAAATAGCGGGGGGTGGGGTAAAGGGGGTGCTGGAACCTCCATCCGGGTCTGAAATGAAAATAAAAAATAACAGAATTTCACTTGAAGTTGAATCTCTCAGAATTCAAGGGAAATGGTGAAAGTTTCGTTTGACCCTTTTTTGTAGCTCTCATTTCACTCTACAAAAAATCTCTAAATGAAAATTTCGCCATCTCCTTTGTATTCCACGGTTCTTATCAAAAACTTAATTGACGTGACAGAACAACGAAATCGTATGCAACATTCAGCTTTTGCTGAACATCTTGCAATTGAAGGGAGATAGTAGAAATCTTCAGAGCACTTTCAGAAAACCTCACCTCCCAATCCATTATCCAGGAAAATATCAGAAAAAATCTCACAGAAGTCAATTAATTAAACAATCATTTTTATAAGAAAACTCCATAACTCTCCAACAAAGAAATAAACCGCTTACAATTTCATAGATCAAAGTACAACAGTGAAAATTCTCTCTAGTCACTCGTCAAAAATAGAAATACATCCACGAACACAAGATCATTAATTGAATTGAAAACGATGAAGTCGAAATAATCGTATGAATTTTCCAATCAGTCATCGGAAATCTAGTTAACGTGCTACTCGTACTAATGTTCCTAGTCTCGATAATATTCTGACAATCGGTAATCCCTGTGAATTTAAGTAGTTGTTTGGTGGATCGCTGGAATGATAACTCGTGTCCTCCAGTCTGTTTCTTATTGGTCAGTGTTTTCTTGAGAGGCGGTAATTTCTGCATCGACGAACGAGATCAAATTTTCGATAGCGCAGGCAGTGCCACTGGGGTATCTGTCTCATGTTCTCCATCGCCTGGAATTAATACAACAATAGAAAATGATTTGGGTGTGAGGTGGTGCGTGCAATGAACCTTTTCAAGCTATTTCTGCCAATGACATGATTGGTAAGACCAGAAGTGCTAAAATAAATCATTGGGGATGAGAAGTTTTAATTTAGGGCGCGGATGGGTTATCTCTCGAACGTGATCTTGGTTGTTTTTTTTATTTTGATAATCTGAAATGATCTTTTCAATTGCTATTCAGTTTTACATAGCTCTGGAGTCTCCGAAAATTATGATTGTGCAATCAAAAAAACGATGAAAAAAACCTGAACATTTTGAAAACGCGCAATAGGGAAGAATTTGCAAATTAATAATTTGATGTACCCAATGGCTGTTAGGTCGTCATTTGTCAGTAGTCAATGGCTGTCAGATCGTTATTTAGACACGATAAATTACCCATTCATTATTTCTTCTTTATCGGACTTATTTCCTAATCTTTATTAAAAACGCTCTTTGAAAATGTTCAGCTTTCTTTCTACTTTTTTCATTGTACAATCATAATCTTTAGGGAGTCCTACGTGATGTAAAATCCAATGGAAATTGTGATATATTTTACATTATGAAGATAGAAAAACAATCGAGATAACGTTCGAAAGATCTACCCGGGCCTTAAAATCAGAATAAAAAATACTCAATTATTTTAACTTCAGTTTTTTTTCAATATCTCGAAATCTAAAAGACTTGGTGAAATTTTCATTGGAACATTTTTTATAGCCATCATTCCCCTCTACAAAAAAGCCTTTCACCAAAATTTTGGTATCTCCCATAGATTCCAAGATAAAACGGTTTTTTTTCTATTTCGATCACTTGAAATTGAACTAAAAAAATGTAACAAAAGGTAGACAACACTAGAAAACAATTTAGTCGTGTTGTTGTGCGTGCAATGACCCTTTTCGAGGACCTTCTGTCAATGAAATGATTGGTAACACCAGAAGTAATAAAATAGATCATTGAAAGATGAGAAAATTTCAATTTCAAGGCCCCACTTTTTTTGCTCGATTTTCATCGAAATTTCAACTCGATGCCCCGTCACTTTGAGATCCCCGAAAATTATAAATTTGGATTGAAAAAAAAAAGGTTTTTAATCTCAACATTTTGAAGGAGCGCTTTTAATTAATACTGAGAAATGATTTCAATAGAGGAGACATGTATAATGTATAATTACCGTGGCGGTAATGTATAATTAAGACGAAATAATAAATCCTTTGGCACAGCGCAACCAGACGATTGTACGAAAGAAGGCTCTTTGAAAAATTGTAATATTTTTAAGAATTTTTTTCTCCCACTGTGAAACTATGAAATTTCGAGATGAAAATGGAAGAAAAAAATAAAATAGATAACGTTCGGCAGATAATGGCGCCGGGCCTCAAACCACGAAGAAAAAACACTCAATTATTTGAACTCCAGTTTTTACAAAATCTGAAATCTGAAAATCTAAGGGACGTGGCGAAATTTTCATCACTACCTTTTTTGTAGCTCTCATTCCCCTCTACAAAAAAGTTTCTCACCACAATTTTTGTATCTCTCATAGATTTCAAGATATCTCCAAAAAACCCTCAAATTTTCATGAGCCGATTTTTTCCAATTACGATCATTTGCAATTGAAATGAAAAAATGCAACAAAAAATGTAAAAATTAACAGTTACTCAACTGCTTCTGGATCACTGGCGGGAAATCCTCTAGCCATAGCCACCATCACAACGAGAACAATCAGAATAAACGGTATAAAGGAAAAAATGAGCTTCATTCGAGCAATTTGTAATCCCTCCCTCGAAGCACGTCACTCCAAATGTAAAACAATTGCCTCAAGAATATTCCCTAATTAATGGCCCAGAGGGTGATGTATCTGTCTTGGTGTCTCGACAGTAACTGGAGTTTGTGAAGACTCGAGATGATTTAATATAGCCCCTCATCCCCACCATCTTCACACGTCTGTCTTTCATTCTGATGTCAAGTTGGCCGTCTATCTTTCACCTCATCTCGTCTCTCTCCACGTGGGAGGGTTTCCATCCCCTGCTTCAACTATCAACGTCTACCCTTGATCACCAGGGGGGGTGACCACTTCCACTTCATTTCCCTTTGGAAAGGGCTCTTGAATGGGGATTTAACGGAAAGAAGTATCGAAGGGTTCGACAAAAGGTGTGGGTTTCTTTTGCTTTCGAATGGAAGCTTTGTAATTGCTTAAATTTAAGTTTTCAATTTTTTTAAAAAAATTTTTTGTGTCCGTATGAGGCAGGAATAGCCAAATTTGTAATATTTTATTACGGTTAATCTTGTAGCCCTTAATTAGATAACATCACTCTTGAATTTTTTTTTAAACGTAATTTGCCGCAAGAAACTTGTGACTGGCCATCGCCCGAGGGCTTTCAGCCTGGTATTTACATATTATATATAAAGTGTTGATTTTAGGGTGAATCTTGAAATTTTTTGAGTACTTAAAGTAGCTCTACCCTTACGGTAAATTCAAAGATTATTGAAAGCTGCAAAAAAATTTCAGAAAACTCGATTAGATGCGGAATTGTAATTTTTTTCTCAATTTAATTATCGTTTTGGTTTTTCAAAGAAGAAATTTTTTAAAATCAGGATTTAACCCAGTGTCTTATGTGAAAGTCAACATTTTCATTGTAATCAAAGATTAAAATCTGAATTTGTTTTCATCAAGGCCCGGGTGTACTATCTTCCGAACGTTATCTCGATGTTTTCT